AAAAAAAAAAAAAAGAATCTCAGACCCTGTGGGAGACTCAGATCCTACCTCCTTCCTACCTCCTTCTGCAATTTGTTGTAATTAGAACTTGGACCTTCTCAGTGGAGAACGAACAAAAGAAAAAATACCCCAAACTCTGTGTGGATGGATTATTTGGGCTTGGGAGCTGTAGGGTGCACAGAAGAGTGAGAGGATAGGGCTTGGAAAGAGAAAGGTTATGTCCTAGGCAGTTGCTCCTTGACACCCAGTTCAGAGACACAGCCCAGGGACTGAGAGGAGGCTGGAGCAGGGGCGCTTGGTGGAAAGGGCAGGAGTCAGCCGGGCTGGGGGTGAAGGGTCTGCTCACACCCTGAGGGGTTCGAAAAAGAAACAGCTCTCTTTGCACTTGGGAATCTCCCCTGGAAAAGGTTTCAGGGAGCACCCTCATACACTCACAGGCTAGGAACTGTGAACTAGACTTGTGAAGGCCAGTAGGAAAGGGAGGGAGGAGGAGTGAGACCCTTTCCCAGTAGTTTTAGCATGATGCCTTTGTTGGACCCCAAACACATCTGGACATATTGTTAGCACAGAAATTGTCAACAGTTTCTACAGTGGGAAGATGTCACCTTTAGAGATCATTCTGAAATTGACCGTAAAGGGATCTTTAAGCAATTAGATTTTTACTTTAATTCTTATTACAAAAGTAATATGTACTGTCAGTAAATAATGTTTCACACACACACACACACGGGCAATGTTACCTCTTCCCCATTTGCCCAGTTTCCTCTCCACAGTCAACTATTTCACAGATACTGTATTAGTCAGAGTTCTCCAAAGAAACAGAACCAATGAAATACGATGTATGGAAGTACCCATACATACACACGTACATACATACATGTATATACATGTACACACACATGGGTGATTTATTGTAGGGAAATGGTTCATGCAATTGTGGGCTGAACAGTCCTGAGTTCTGCAGGTGAATCGACAAGCTGGAGGCCTGTGAGAACTGAGGGTGCCCTTTGAGCTATTACATTTTACCATTGAACTCCCTGTGGTTTTTCACATGTCAAATAATTTTGGATGATATTCTTGGCATTTTTAATATTGAGTTATGTGATTCTGGGTCTTCTTTAAGTTCTGTGGAGAATAGTGATATTGTTTGTGTTAGCAACAGCTGATCTGGTTAGTTCCAAGTGGCAAGTTCCAGCTCACTTCTGTAGGTTGTGGTTCAAGTGTCAGTTCAATTCTAAGGTCATTCTGAGACATGGACATCAGTTTATCCATTACTTGGTTCTCAAAGTCTTTGGTATACTCACTGAGGACTAGATCCACATAGGTGTTGCCCAGGGATGAAATTCATGCTGAAAGTCATAAACAACTAAAGAAAATCGAAACAATTGATCTACCACATTCATGGATTGAAAAACTTAGAAACGGCTATGCTAATTCCTCAAAACATCATATGTAGATTCAAAACATACTCAACAAAAAAACTCAGCAGATGTTTTGGCAAACTGATTTTAAAACGTAAGTGAAAACATAACAAACCTAGAATAATCCAAATAATTATGAAAAGGAACAATAAGATTGGAAGACATATTACCTGACTTTAAGACTTATAAAGCTGCAGTAAAGAACACATTACTCTTTGCATATGCATTAAATTAGACATACAATAGAATAGAAACAGAATAGAAAATATAAGAGACTCACATAACTAATTTTTTTTATAAAGGAACCAAAGTAAATAAATGGTGCTGGAACAACCACATAAGTAGAAAAACTCTAATTCAGAATAGTTATAAACACATACAAAAGCTGTAACTATATGAACTATAAAAGAAAAAAGAAAATCTTTGCAAATGTGGGTAGGCAGTTTTCTTAGAGTATAAAAATCATGAATCATAAAAGAAAAGATTGCCATTTGGACTTCACTTTAAAATCTGTGTTTTTTTTTTTTTTTTTTGCAAACCAATATTGAAGAAATGAAAAGACAAACCAGAATCTGGTAATTCTTACATTTGAAATGAGACTTATGTCCAGAATGTATAAAGAATACTTTCATGTCAATGTAAATAAGAACACAAACAACCCAACTTAAAGAATGGACCAAAAGTTTGAATATAAACCTCACAAAAGAAACAAAAACCTTCCAAATGGTCAATATATCAGGAAAATGCAAACTCAAGGAGATATCACCACAGAACTATTAGAGTGGATACAGTTTTAAAGTCTGAAAATACCATTTGTTGGCAAGGATGTATAATAACTGAACTCTCCAATATTACCTTTCAGGTAGGTAAAATGATAAAAAATAAAAATACTTGGGAACATAACTTGGTAGTTTCTTATAAAATTGAACACACACATACCATATAACCCAGCAAGTGCAATTTTAGGTATTGACTAAGAGAAATGAAAAAATATATCTTTACACAAAGACTTGTATGCTAATGTTCACAGCTTCCTTCATAATGGCCCAAATCTGGAAACAGCATCTATACCTATGGGCCGGAGAGCAGATAATCACATTTTGACGCATGGTCCGTGTCCCTTAATGAGGGATGCATTCTGAGAAGTGCATTATTATGTGTACCTCATAGTGCAATTACACTATGTAATTACCTCCTACGCAGCTGGGCTTGTGAAACGGCCTGTGGGATCATCGCTGTGTTTATAGTCTGTCATTGACTAAAACATTGGTAAGCCACAAATGACCAAATTCATATAATGGAATATTACTTAACAATATAGAATTTGGGGGGCCCCCTCCCTGGTGGCGCATGGGTTAAAGTGCAGCAATGCGAAGCTAGCTGCAGCCACCTCAGCCACAGTTCAATCGCCTGCCAGGGAAGTGACCCACATGGCGAGCAGACTTCTGTCTCACCTGCTGCTCCCCTCAACAGTGTACTTCATCATTCTGCCCGTTCTGCACCCCACCCTGTCTCTGGTGAATCCTCTCACTGCCCCTGCACCTTGGGCCTGTACCCCAGTTCTGTATGCATGAATAAATAAATCTAAAAATATATTTTAAAAAAACAATATGGAATCTAGAAATGGACTGTTGTTACTCGCAACAACATGGATGAATCTCAAAAACATCATGGTGAGTGAAAGAAGCCCCTCAATGTAGATACTAAGTTAGTGCATTTATCTGAAACTCTAGAGAAGGAAACTTATTGTGCAATGACAGGATGTATGTAGGTCATTGGTGACAGGTGTCAGGCATCAGGGGTGGGAAATTTTGAAGTGATGGAAATTTCTTTATTTTGATTATGGTGGTTACTTAGCCATATTCATTTGTAAGACTTACTTAAATGTATACTAAAATGGGTGCATCTTGTTGTGTAGGAATTACATCTCTATGAAGTTGCTTAAATCCACAATGATACCATTATACAGCCTCCAAAGTGCAAAGATGAAAAAGAAGAGAAAAAACTCAACCATTAGCTGGATGGAAGCACTCTGGCACCTCACACACCTCACACAAGTGATTGATACAATCACTTTAGAAAGCTGTTTTGGGGGTGTATACTAAGGCAAGGTCTAATGCACCCTAGGAATCAGCAGTTTCACTCCTGCCTATGAATAACATGGAGATGTGTACAAATATTTATCTAAAGACATGCATAGAAATGCTTATAGTAGTGATATCCAAAATAGTGAGACACTAAAAATAAGCCAAATGCTCATCTAAGTTTGGCTGGATGCTCTGTGCATGCTGCAAGTGCTGTGATAGGCACCTGCACCAGGATGGGTAAGTCCCAGAACAAAACAATGCTGATGCTTTCAAACATGATGCTGAGTGGGAGAGGCATCGGAGCCTCATACTCAGGTAAAGTGGTCATGTCTTTTCAGGGCAGTTTAGCTGGGAATCTAGCTATTCTTCCCATGCTTAACTTCAGAGTAATTTCTGCTTGGTCATTCTACTTCTAGGTATCTAACCAAGAGAAAGACTTGTTTCCCTGCACAGCAGCAAATGTAAACTTCTTCACTTCAATATTATTTATAAAACCAAAGAGGCAAGGGCCCTCCCTGATGGCGCAACAGGTTAAAAGCACAGCACTATGAAACTATTGCAGCCACTGCAGCACAAGTTCAATCCCTGGCCAGGGACCTGACCCACATGGCGCAACAGACCTCTCCTGACCTGCCCACTGCTCCCCTCAGCAGTGTATTTCAGTAAATCTGCCTGTTCTGCTCCCCACTCTGTCTGTGGTGAATCCTCTCACCCCCAGCACCTTTGGCCTGTACCCAGTTCTTGTAGGCATAAATAAATAAATCTTAAAAAAAAAAAAACAAAAAACAAAGAGATAAGCCTTGCTATAATGCATTACAGGAAGTCATTAATAAATTTGGCTATTTATGTACTGGACCACCATGTAGCCTTTAAACAGAAGGAAATGGGCAGTGACTTGGGAAAACTCCCTTATAACGTCACATTTAAAAGTAGAAGCACATTGCAGAGAAATCTCCAAGTGTGGATATATTCTTACAGGCACATAAACATGCATAGAAATATTTCTGGAAAGACACATCCCTGGGCTTAGGGGCCAAGGTGAGGTGGTTTTCTCACTTTGCTACCCTTCCCTGACCTCTGAGGCTGCACTGTGAGTGGGTTTACGCCTTCAGTCACTGGTCAGTGTGATGCTGTCTGTATCCCCAGAAACCACATGCACAACCGAGAGAAGGAAGAGAACATGTCTGCTCTCACCTGCACAGCTAATAGTACACGAAAGGAATCTTTGTGCTTCATCTGTACAGTCTGAATGACTGGATTTTCAATGTTCTAGTGCCCAAGGGAAGAACCTCTCCTCTAGGAAACAGAGCCTTCGTTTGGTTTAAATTTGAAAATGAACTGCTCTTGGCTGCATTGAGTGACTCCTAATACCACTAGGTTGGGGTGCCTGTGAATGTGATTTTGGGGGGTGATCTATTCTGATTAAGAAGGGAGATGGGTCTGTTGCTTCACAATGGAGGGACAAGAACTGAGACGACTGTGGGATGCCACCTAGCACTCCCATGTACATTGATACATGGGCTGTGGTTACTCCAAAAAGATAGGCTCACAGAGGACTTGCTTGCTATGGAAATGAAGTTTTGGTTCACCCTGGTAGGTAGAAGAATCCTAACCACTGAAGTGCTGGGAGAGGGTAAGGGATCATGGAAAAAGTGGTGGAAGAAGGAAATTGCAGAGGCAAAATCATTTAGGAAGGAAGTTTACTTGCAAAGAAGTTGCAAAAGAATCAGACTGGGAGAACAGGCTTACCAAACAAAACCACAATAGGCATTCAAAGGAAAATTCTGCATGATTACCCATTTTAACAAGTCTTTATTTTTTTGTTCATAGATAACAGAACAGCCCTTCTTTCATGTGATTATCATATTCACCAAAGTTTATACATATCTTCAGGCGTCAGCATTGTGAAAGTGGGAGATAAAGTTGTTTTTCCTAGACAGTCAGCAATTTATGGGAAACGTTCAAAGTTTAATTTATTTGGGGGACTAGAAGAACTGTTTTTGTGAAACCCATATGCAATTAGTCAGCAAAATCCTGTCAACTCTACCTTCACAATACATTTTGAATATGAACCTTCCTCCTCAATTCCATGTACATACGATGATCACCTCCCACCTGGATATGCCAATAGCTCCTTACCTGGACTCTCCATTTCCCACCCTTGTCCCCTTTCATGAAAATCAAGTAATGATCACATTGGTACATATAAGCACTTAACATTATCTTAAGTCAGGTCACACATTCCTCTTCTGCTCTGACCCCATCAAAGTCCACCTCTCTAACTTGGAGTAAAAAAATCCTTAGTAATAGCCCAAAGGCCCTAAGGAACTGATACTCCATGGTTTCCCTCTGTGACTCATTACTCCTCTCTTGTTCAGTTCTTTATAAAATCTCTGGTAAATGAATGATCCTTGTACACACCAGATATTCTCCACCCCCATGGCCTTTGCACATGCTATGCCCTCTGTCTCGAAACACTCGTCCTGCTAGAGCTCCTCATAACTTGCTCCCTCACCATCTTCAGACTTTTGCTCAAGTGTCACCTTCCTGGTAAGCTCTTTTTTGATCCCCTATTCTTGATAGTTCATTAGAAGTCAATCTTTTTTCATTTCCCAACTCTATTGCACATATCACCATGTGATGTTTTATATATATATAATATATATAATGTATATTATATATATGTATATATATATTTTTTAAGATTTATTTATTTATTCATAGAACTGGGGTACAGGCCAGAGATGCGAAGGGTGAGAGGATTCACCAGAGACAGAGCAGGGAGCAGAACAGGCAGATCGATGAAGTACACTGCTGAGGGGAGCAGCAGGAGGGTCAGGAGAGGTCTGCCACGCCATGTGGTCACCTCCGGGGCAGGCGGGGATCGAACTCATGCGGAAGTGGCTTAAGTTTCTTAGTGCTGTGCTTTAACCCGCTGCGCCACAAGGGAGGGCCTATGTTATATATATTTTTTACTCACTAATTTTGCTGTTAATGTGGGTGTCCACCCACGATGAGGACAAGGCTCTTTTGTTCTTGACTGCTAAAGTATGCCTCTTTTGAAGGAGCGTACCTGGTGTAGCATAGACATTCAATAAGAACTTGTTGAATGGATGAATAAATGTGTGTGAGGTGACTGGAAAAATATACCATGTTCTTTGTCAGAGAAATTCAATAAAGCAGAAGTGGTGATTATCCCCAAATTAATGTGTGAATATAGGGCAGTAGACTGTGGAGGACTCAGAGAAGCTCCCTGAGACCTTACTACCCCACTCTTTTCCAGGAAGAAGTCAGTGCTCAGGCGTGGGACTGGGCAGACTGCTCTCTCCCCATCTGAGTTCACTCCTCCACTAGTGTGGCTTGTGGAGGGGTTGGGTGGTGAGGGGTAAAAAGGTCCTGGCTCAGCCCATGCTGGACAGCTCCAACTGACAGGATAGTTTGAACTTTCAGAACCTCCTGTTACATGAGCTGGGCCACGTGGGTTCATCCTGGCTGTTTAGTTAGCTTCTCTCTCTGGCACTCCTCTTTTCCCCTTCCTTTCACAGGTATTGGCCCCTAAAAAATAGCTTGAACCCCAAGTTCTGTCTTAACATTGATTTCTAAAACCTTGTGGCAAATCAAGATAACAAATAAAAGTAAAACAAGAAGACAAGACAAAACTGGAAACAACTTAAATGTTTATCAACACGGAAGTTCTTAATAAGTAACTGATGAAATGATGATAAATTACCGATGGTGTGAAATAAGATGGAGAAAAAACCAAAGGACCTTTTATGAACTGAATAAAAAGTCAAATAACAGAAAACAATTCCATTTATAGAGAAAATATAATCTAAATTGTGTTTGCTTTCCTTCTCTACCTTTCAAGACACTCTGTTTCCTTCTTATTGCAAGAATGTGTGTTTGAATTCAGGGTAACTCCCTTAGAGGGATGTAATGGGTAAGCTGGTTGGCATTGATGCCCTTTCATGAAGACAGTGCTTGTGGCGGGATCCCACACAGCCCTGGGCTTGAAATCCCTTCCCGGCCGGACCTGTGACCTTGGTCCAGTCCCACAGAGGCTCTGAGCCACGGTCCATCATTCAAAATAATACCAAAATTCATGGTTAATGTACAGCCAATGTCTGACTCAGCTCCAACCACATTTGATGTTCAATAAATTTTGTTCCTTTCTCCAGCTTTCCCCTTCCCATTCTGACCAGGAAATCCTACTCTCGGTCACCCTTTCCTCCTCCTCCTATGCAGAATGAGAAGAGTTAGGCCAGAGTAGGGGGAACTTGAGGGCTGAGACTCCAGAGGAAGCTGAGAGCCCAGGGACACGGTGAGGACTGAGAAAGAGCGGAGCAATGGGTTCCTCCGGACCCAGGTATGCAATCATGGAGGCACCAGCAATTCCAGGAAATTCAGATATAGGAAGTGAAAAGATAAAGTGTGCAGCTTCCCTCACCCATGTGGTAAAAATGAGGAAGTTGGGGAGCTGGAAAAAGCGGAAAGGGAGTAGGCACAGCTGGGAGGAGAGCAGAGCTGGCTCCATAGCAAGTCCCCTCCACCCCGCGCCCCCACCAATCTCTGCCTGTGTTCCGATTTCAATTCCTTCTTGTTTACTGCCTGTAGTTGAGGAAACAGGAGATTCCAGAGGGTAGACTCCTAGGCTCACAGACACAAAGACCAGCAGGAATTCAGTTATTATATGGCTCCTCCTTCCATCGCCTCTACCCTACTCTCCAGGATTTTGTTTTTCCAATTCTGATCATTGCTGCACTGAGACCCCAAGAGTCACAGCCTTCAGGCTTTCCTCAGGTAATTGGGCTGGGGATGCAGGTGAGACCAAGGGAATGGGGAGGATGTTAGAGGAAGCAGAGAACGGTGGATCTAAATGGGCAGATCAAGCTGGGGCCATCTTGGAGATCTAATTGCCAAATGCATCAGCTTGAGTGGGCATGTTGGATTCTTTTCCTCCCTTCGCTGGATCTGTTTTCCATTATGGCACCTACGACCTCAGTCAAAAACAAAGTCAAGCTTAGTCCGCTGCTAGCCCAGTTCTAATTCCACTCCCAATACTGACCTCAGCTCTGCTTTTAACCCCTGAGTCAACTTGAATCTTAAAACCAGTCCCAAATGAAGGGTGAAATCAACTGTTCCAACTTTAGTGCCAAGTTAAGGTCCTACTTCCTCTGGGCTCCAGCACAGGGCCGACCCCAATCCCAGCAGGAGACACAACCTCAATTCTAGCCCCAATGTTAGATCTGATCCCAGCAATATATTTTGCTCCAACTTCACCTCCACCTCCTATCCCAGACTTAACCCCACTGCGGATCCAAACCCAATCTGAGCCCACTTCTAATTTAAACTTCAAACCCAGGCCCTTTCCCTTCCCAGCAGTAAAGCCAGGCTGCTTCTCCACTGGAACCTCAGCTTTACCTCGGCCCCAGCCCTGGCCTCAGCACCAGCTGGCCCCAGCCTCCCCTTGTGCCCCAACATCTGCCCCAGTCTGGCCTCTGGCACTGCCTCCGTCCTTTTCAGCTCTGACAGCTTCAGTGTTGGGCCAAGCATGGCAATGAAGTATGAGAACTTCCAGAATGTGGAGAGTGAGAATAAAAGCCAGTGGTTTGGAAATGGTAAGAGGACAGAGAAATGGTCTATCCTAAAATACCCCCTCAATATGTTTAGAAGGATTTCTGTTGTGATGTCACCTCTGCCTATTTGGGGCCCCCCTACTCGGAGAGGACCAGGACCCAGTATGAAGAGGATTCAAGGCCCCAGGAGGACAGGGGCAGGACAGACCACGGAGATCTGGTGTCCCGTGTTCTGAGGCAGCAGACGAATGCTTGTGCTGGGGAAGAGCGGTTGGGTTTGGAAGGGAAGCTCATTCTGCTGACGGTGCGGATGGACGTGAGTCTCCAAAAGACCTGGCTCCCCCAACTCTCTCTGGGTCCTCCCGCCACCTGCTCAGCTCTGATGGACGATCTATAACCTCCTCCTTCCCTGCCCTTGTGTATGTGCATCCCCCAAGGCTGTGAGTGGCTCCTGCTAAAAGGACCTATGAGGTCTGTGAGCGATCAAAGGCCAGGACTCCACCTGTCCCACAATTCTCCTTGTCAACCCCCATCCCCAAACATTACCTTAGTCAGAATTCACCTCACAGGTGCTCACAGGCCCGTGGACCTCGTGTCCTGGACCCTTCCAATCCTGACACATTTTCCTCTTATAGGGCTGCCTCTTCCCCAGTCCCTCCTCTGCTCTGGCCCCCGACCTGTCCTGATATGCCTGGCTCTCAACTTCCTCCTGCTGGTTGGCATCTGTGTGGTTGGATCCCAAAGTGAGCAGCAGGGTTGGGGAGTGGGGCAAGTACAGCGTGGAGGTTGGGGGAGCAGCGGGGTGGGCAGTACATCATGGGTGTACTGGAGGGGGCGCTTCAGGGCATGATGGCTGCCGTTTAGTAGCCAGGAATGGAGCCAAGTGGCTTATCCTCTCTGAGCGTGGTCGCCTCCTCTCCATACTGAAGCATTGGCCCCTTCCCTTTGGGTGGGGCAGCAGTGAGGCCAAATGGGAGGGACACGTGTGTCGTCGGGCGTTCTGCTCAACACCCACACAGCGGGCCTGATGCATCTTAACACCAATGCTCTCACCTGTCTGCTCAGATTCCAGGTTTCAGAGGGACCTGGTAACCCTGAGAACAACTTTCAGCAATGTCACAACTGAGGTCCAGTCGCTGAATTCTCGAGGTGAGCTTTCGATGGAAGTGGGGGCGGTGGGGAAGCAGAAGGAAGCCTTGGCCTGAGCCTCGAGAGCCCCTTTCTTCCAGGTGACCGTGCTCAAGAAACGCTGACATCTCTGAAAGCTGAGGTGGAGAACCACAAGCAGGAGCTGCAGGCAGGTGAGACCCTTCAGTAGTCGTGGGGGGGCTGGGCCTTGAGGGCAGAGAGGGGTGGGCTGGAGCAGCCCAAGACGCTGAGCACCACCCCCTCCAGCCCGTAGCTTGAACGACAAAGTGTTTTCTCTGGAGAGCAAGCTGGAGAAACAGCTGCAGGAATTCAAAGCAGGTGAGACACTGGCTCCCCTCCCCTGGGCATGATGCGTGTGGGACAACTTGGTGGTTCCTAGGCTGGGACCCCAGGCTCAATCGGCCTCCAGAGACTCACTGAGCAGGAGCCACATCCACAACCAGGCACTGTCCCATGCCCATCTGTGTGTGCCGCAGGTTACTCCGAAATACCCACTCTGCTCCAGCAGCTGGTCGAAGACCTGAAGTCCCTGTCTTGCAAAATCACTCTTCTCAAGAGCAATGGTGAGGGGTGGGGTGGGGGGGCACACCTGACCCGATGGGCTGTGCACATCTCCCTGGGCAGCATCTTCAGATGCTGGGTCTCACCCTCCGCTCATCGGCCCCTCAGGCTCTCAGACTACCTGCTGTCCCACTGACTGGCTGGAGCATGGAGGCAGCTGTTACTGGTTCTCTCACTCTGGGAAGCCCTGGCCTGAGGCTGAGAAGTACTGCCAGCTGGAGAACGCCTACCTGGTGGTCATCAACTCCAGGGAAGAGCAGGTGACTGTGGGGGCCAGGACCCAAGACATGTCCCATTTAAGCAAATGGTTTCCACCCTTGGCTGCACAGTGGCATCAGCTCTGGAGCTCTGAGGACAACTGCCACCCCAGGCTCACCCGCAGAGTCTCCCCCACCTGCTATTGGGTTACACACCCCAACGCCCCTTCATTGAAATGCTAGTCCAAGGAGTAGGCTAGGACTCTGCCTCGGAGCTATTCCCACCCGCCACACACAACATTGCCTTTCTGTCATCCCAGAATTTTGTCCAGAAACACTTAAGCGCCTCATACACCTGGATGGGCCTCAGTGATCCCGAAGGAGTCTGGAAATGGGCAGATGGGACCGACTATGACACCAACTTCAAGTGAGTGTGCCCGGGCTCGCCCCCTTCCTTTCTGGACTCAGCAACTCAGGGGCTGGCCTCAGACCTGGTTTCCTTCCATCCGATCTTCCTCCCCCTCAGGAACTGGAAGCCAGGCCAGCCCGACGACTGGCATGGGCATGGACTGGGCGGAGGGGAGGACTGTGCCCACTTCCATCCCGACGGCAGGTGGAATGACGACGCCTGCCAGAGGGACTACCGCTGGGTCTGTGAGACCGGCCTGAGCTCCGTGAGCTAAGAGAGCCTCCTGGGACCTCTCTGAGACCCTGTGGGAGGGACGCGCTGGGAGATTGGAGCATTGCCAACATTTTGAATTGTTTTCTGTTAACTTTCGAAAGACTAGACAGCATTCCTAAGTTTTCTTTCATATCAGCTTTATCAAGATATAAATATAAAATTGTAAGGTATTTAAAGTGTACGTTGTGGTGATTTGATGGGCTTATTTATATATTGTGAAAGGATTCTTCCCTCTACTTAACCAACATATCCATTATCTTCCATAGTCACTTTTTTTTAGGGAGAACATTTAAATTTGACTCAGCAAATTCCAATTACACAATGCAGTGTTTTAAACTGTAATCACCATCTTTCCTATTAGCTCCTAACACCTCATTCATCTTAAGCGGGACGTTTTGCCTTCAATCAACCTTCCCTTGTTACCTCTACCTCCAGGTCTGTCAAGGTTAGATGAGAAGTTGTAGAGAGAAGGGAGAGTATCAGAAAAAATTCTCAGCCTGGCTGGAGATGTGATAACCCGGGTGACTAAAGGGAGCCAGCTGTGGGAGCAGGGCTGGGGCTTCGGCTGCTCTCCCAAGGCCAGGGGCGCTTTCACAGGCTCTTCACCGCGCCCGGGGCCCTCACGGGCACAGCGTGGAGCCACCATCAGGAAGGTCCCCACTTCTGCTAGAGAGGTGCGGATGGGTAACCAGCACCCATCAGAGATCTGACGATGAGAGAAAGAGACCTCAATTTACCTCCAAATATTATCTCCTGCATAATTTGTGTTTTCTTTCCTTCTTTTCGGCGTTGTATTTTTCTAAGTGAGTTTAAGATTTATGAAACTCATGAACAACAGAACCAGTAGAACGGTAAAGTCAGTTCAAAGGAACACGAGAGCCAGAAGTAATTTTTGTTATCGAAGCAAAAAACTTGGGAATAAGATTGCTAAATTAGAAACAAAACTGGTTACTGCCCTATAGGCCAGTAAAACTGAACATTGGGGTTAGTTAGAAATAATTTGTTGCGCATTAGATAAAATCCCTTGCTTGGCTATTTATTTTCACTCAGAATTTAACAATATCTCATTCAAGAATAAATAGTAAATCAAACAAAAGTACAGATCGGGGATTAGATAATGCCTATGAGGTAATGTCTAGCATGGGAACTGCAAGGACAGCCAGCTATCCTTTTGCTCTTCTCCATTTGTCTTCTCATCAGCTCCCACCTTTTGTGAATAAATAATTTTCAAAGATTGTTCTTGATCACCTAAATCACCCAACCCACCAAACACTACCTGCCCTCCCACCCACTCAACCCCTCCCCAACTAACTCACCCTGTCTCTTTGTGTTTGGACCTGATTCATGAAAATATGTTTATATATGTTATACCACAATAGCTTCTATCACTAGAGACTTAAAAAAAATTACTGCTATTATTTGCTCTTCCATTCTGAGCTTATAAAACCAAATCAGAGAAATGAACTTCACCAGCTTTTGCCTGTGGTACCTACAAATGTGGGTAAATTTTATTTTCTCCATCAGGAAATTACTTTTACTTGGAAGAGGTGCCAGATCAACTCCCTAGGAGGACTTTGTAAGCACCTATTCCTTAATGATGGATTTAAGGAATAGTCATATATTGTGTATTCTCAAATATGATACTGCAGAAAATTAAAAAATATATATTATCACGCAGTTGAATTTTTAAACTATCTCCTGGTGAAAAGTAGGACATAATCTTATTGAATTCATGCAAGTAACTATGTTGCCATTAAAATGAAAGCGATTTCCTAAGAGAATTTTCCCTGACTACTGAGGGATCAGTGAGGATATAAATGTAGAAAGAATATTTTACTAAATTAATGACTGGAGAAGACTAAGAAAGGGCTTTATTATAAAACTATCAAAAAATAGAACATTAAAACAATAGTGATAATATTCTGAGCTAATAACTGTAAGTTTATTTCCCTCATTAGTTCATGCAATCCTGTTTTAATTAGTTCTTGTTCTGCTGCATGTTGGGTCAGCATTCAAGCTTTAGTCCTTTGTATTTGAAATTCTTACTCAGACTGATGATGGAGCTGACAGTTGTCTGAGCTATATCTCATGACTCCGTTCCTTGAAATAATAGTATTAAAAAATACTTGGTACAAGGTCTTTCTTGACATCTGTCCTATGTTGAAGAGACATGTTTGCTCTTACCACATAGCTTATAACAGGATGTTCAGACAAGCACCAGAAGGAAACAGGCCATTCATATTGTTAAGGTTGAATAGCTAGTCAATTTATTATAACAATCAGCAAAATCACAATGAAGGAGACTAGTATGGTTCATAATACAAAAACCATTTTGTGGTGATTTGATGAAAATTTCCCGAAGAGTAAGAATGTTTTATGAACAGGGCCTTTCTGGTGGCCTAGGGGTTAAGTCTCAGTGCTATCACCTCTACAGCCTGAGTTTGATTCCTGGCCAGAGAGCTGACCCACATGGCACAGCAGACCTCTCTTGTCTCACCCGCTGCTCTCCTCAGCAGTGTATTTCAGTAGATCTGCTTGTTTTGCTCTCCGCTCTGTCTCTGGTGAATCGTTTCACCTCCTGCATCTCTGGCCTATACCCCTATGCAAAAATAAAAAAAAAATGCTTCATGAATAGCAAGGACATTAACAAATCTTTAGCACCATCATATCCATTGTGGAGTGTATACAATCTCCGAAGTATCTCTATCATTAACATTTGCCAATACCTAATTAACCTAGGATGATGAAATTCCTTTTGATTAGGCTGTTCTTTCCATAGAGCTCTGAAAATAGTGTAGGGATAATTAAGAATAAGGAGCACATCAAATAACCCTCTTTTTCAAAGCAACTGTCTTCCTCTAAAGTAGTTGTTCTGTGGCCTTCTGGGAAGCCCTACATAGTTAGGGTAAAAGGATCTTCAAAGCTTAATTTTTCTGAATTTTGGGTCAGGCCTAGAAAAGACAGAATTAAAAGTTATCAGAGAAATGAGTCATTTAGATTAGAACAGTAACATGAATGTCAAAAATAAGCCACAGTTGCAGCTTGTATAAGAGGAACAATGCAATGCTCAAAAAAATAAAAACAGCATAAAGTAGCATACTTGTAAGAAATTTTAACACACACAACCATAAGGAACTTCTGTTTTTTTAATAATAAAAGACATAAATTCAGCACAAATGATGAGATACAGGATCTCTGCTCTTTGCACAGGCTATACATGATAAATAATTACTTTTAATATTTCTTGCTTTGAGCAGAGCAAATACTCTAAGATCAATTTATTATTTTAGCAGAAGGAAAATTATTTTATTCTTACATTAATGTAATATTTGGTAGAAAATAATTCCCATGTTTTTAAAAATGTTATTGCTACACATCAAAATTAAACCAATATTGTCAGTTTTAATACATTTCATTATTTCTTTTCAGAGTCATTATTTACAAATGTTACATCTAGACCAAGAAAAATAAATTTTGTTTTTGCAAACCTACAACTTCCTATATCCATTTAAGTTCTATCCTTCACAATCATTGTGCACATTCTAGAACAAGTAAACACTTTGGGGGGAAACTACTCTCAAAAATATCACTTATTTTCTTGGATATATTTCTAATATTTTGCTATTATTATTTCTGAATAGTCTCAACCACTTTGAGTAATTAAAACTGCTAGGTCAATAGAATAATTATATCTGCTAATCAAGGTAATACATTTCTTTCATGGGAAAAAGTGGGATGGAGGAAATTGAGAATTGATCGTCACATATTAGTATCTAGAAATCCTACAAGGCTCCTGACCACACAAATATAAACCCCTATACCTATACACATCCATTTGCTTTTTTACAGTGACAAAAAGGATTTTTTGAACATAACCCATGTCAAGAAATATGAGGGGTCTGAGATTTTCATGGAAGGGTCTGAAATGTTACACTACTTGCAAGCTAATGAGCTAGTCTACCATTTCTAATTGCAGCTAGCAGATATCATGAAGGGATATATTACTCACAGCACATGAGAGTCATGTTTGTCTCATTTTCCTGTCTCCTGAGACCAAGATGTGAAGGGTGAATGAAGAGGGGCCTGGTGAGGATTGTGTTTGTGGCTTTGCACCACAGCTGAGGAACACTGAGGGAAGCTGAGTATTTTATAACGGGCAGTTAGCCTGCCTGTGCTTCACCCAGAAGGAGGGAGACCTTATCTTTGTTGTACTGGATAGTAAACAAAGCTTCTCTTTGCTCTGGAGATAGGTAGACACTATTTCTACTTTTCAAGTCTATTTGCTATAAAATTATCCTTGAAAAGCCAGTCTAGAACACAGGTGGTTAGTGTCTCTGCTTGAGAGATGTGCATAAATTTGAGTGACCCATGGAGAACTGTCTTCCAAGAACTTAAAGATACAGTTTGTCTACAGTTTTTCTACAGTTGTAGAAATAACAAACAATTTTGTGTACATGAAAACAATGTCTGGTGATGGATGTTTCTATACTCTAGCTTAGAAACTTTGGAGGTTTCCAATGAATGCCTACTAATTAATTTGATCAAGTTCTTAAATTAACCAAGGATCTTGAAAATTATGTTTAAGCTGACACATCATAGAACCTAATTGCCATGACATAATAAAGATTGTTCTTCAAGGTCTCCCTGGTGGCACAGAGTTTAGTCTTAGTGCTATCAAGGTATGGGGTTCAATCCCCAGCCAAGGAGCTGACCCATATGGTGAAACAGAACTCTCCTGTCACACCCACTGCTCCCTTCAGCAGTGTATTTCAGTAGATCTGCCTGTTCTGCTCCCCACTCCATCTCTGGTGAATCCTTCCACTCCCTCCCCACCTCTGGCTGACACCCCAATTCTTGAATGCATAAATACATAAAAATAAAACTTTTAAAAAAGTCTTTTTCAGAAAAATAATTCAATTTAGTTGAATAATATTTTTCAAATAACAGTTGCTTATATGCCACACTGATCAAATTGGGAAAAAGATACATGGCTGCTTACAAGCCGAAATTATTAAACCAATCAGATCATTGGGACTTAGAATCTTATGGGATGAAGCTTCTGAGCTAACAATATCTGTAAGTAGAGACTTTTGTTTCTAAAAAGTC